ACAGCAGCAGCTAATACTTGCTCGCTGCTTTGTGCGCATCTTTTCTACCGCTGCAACATGATATAACTTAGAACACATTCTGTTCCATATGCGCACATAATCTATAGTATATGTTACATGTACTATAAATAAATGCGCACATATGCGTGAAACAAAACGCATGTTTATATTTATTCTCATCCCTACTTCTCAGCCTAGAAGGCTTTGATTTTTATGACTTATGCGTTATGTATTATGCAAAAGTCTATGCATCGACTCAAGATTTGTTTTGATATTTCAAATACAAAATAGATTGAAATTGTATTTGAAATACAAAATTTATTGAATAATGTATTTAAAATACAAAATAGAAAATACTTTAATTTGCCCTGCTAAAATACAAAATACAAAATACAAATTGTATTTCAAATACTGTATTTTAAATACAAGTATTTGAAATATGCCCAGCCGTGCCTAAAAGACTGTGTGCATTTTCTGTGTGCTACTGCCTGTCGATCCTCATCCAGTGGAAGTTCCTTGCGCCCAGCCGTGAAACAGCGTGTCCTGGAAAAGATACAAACCTTGTTACTTGGTGGTAAAAGTTACTGGCGACCGTGGCAACGGAGCAAAACCGTGCGTACTTGACCAAATAGTACTCAACTCCGGTCACATGCGCAACTCGCTCGGATTGTAATCCGCGTTGTCGCAAACGTCAGTTATTAAACATAGGTATTGCTCGCACTTACAAAATATTTATTTGACTTACAGTTGACCCATATCTCCGCTTACAGTTGTATCTGTAGTGGTGCTGCTGACTCAGCTTTTCTCGCTGCTTCGCTGCTATCGCCGCTACCACTGCTTTGCTGCTACTGCTGCCTTGTTTGCGTTGGCTGCCTTGTCGCCTTTGCTATTTTGGCTATCCTTTGCTGCTTCCTTGGTACCTTTCCTGGCCCTTCTGTCATAGCTGCTTGTCTGCTTGCCGCTTTCGGAGTTTCCGACGGTGGACTTCGAACTCTTTCTTCTATTGCCGTCCAGCCGCTTTTTTATCTCCGCCTTGTGCCATTGCCCGTCGCTTAGCTTGCGGTAGGTCAGTGCTGCCGTGTAACTCGAGACGGGTGATACTCTATTGACCACAGTACGATTCGACACCGCTCGATTCGACACAGATTTATTCGACAC